TTTGCAAACAAAATGTTTTGTGGTTTTATGGTGATCTAGTATGACTCTGCACTTTGGTTTATACGGCACCACAGAAAAAGTACATTTTATGATTTTCTATCATTACTATTTTCAAATTAGGTACAGTACTCGGCTTTTCCTATATTACTATTTTCAATTCAATGGTTAGATACTTACGGAGGAAGTCGGACGCGAATAGGCTCATCAAACGCAAAAAAGTCGAAAAAGTGAGAAGACTGCACTATGCCTTCCAAATCTAAAAATGCTTAGGTGTCTAAAAGGGCAAGTCATTAAAAAGGCTCCGATTAATAGGGAAGAGTGGGGTAAGACGCCAAGGTGGGGTAAGACGCCCTTTCGATTTAGCAGGTAAACTGTTAATATACATATACCTGTTAGGTATATTTGTATAAGTTCTTGCAACGTTTCTTTCTGCGTTTTGTTTGTAGTGGCAATATTTTCGGTTCCGAGGTGGTGTTGTTTGCAGGCGATGTGCATTCTTATGTTCTTACATATTTTTTTTATATACATTTTTGTCCCACTGTTTTCCATCTAATAACTGGGAGAGGCCATTTAACCCTCGCCGGCCGAGGGGGGGGGGGGGCGGGTGCCGCCCCCCCTCCATAGGGTTTTTTCGCGATAGCTCCGAACACGCTGGCGATAGAGAGCTGAAACTTGGCATACCTGACCTTTGATCCAAGCCGCATCTTTTGACACCAACCGCATTTTTGGGTCAGGTCAGGTCACTGACCTATGACGTCATAAGTGAACCTCTGCACGGTCTTCAGATGTCGCAACTTCGCAACGCCCTCACTGCCAGAGGAGATGTCACAGGGAAATGAAACTTGCAGGATCTAGTATCCATTATGAGTCTCACAACTTGTATATCTCGGATTTTTCCTAAAGGTCATATGAGGTCAGGTCATTACTCATTTTCGTGACCTCACCATTATAAGTCAATGGGGAAAAATTCAAACTGCTATTCTGGCGCCGGAAACGATCTCCAACTATCTCAAGCACACAGAATCGTGATTTGATGCACTCCTTGCAAGGTTAGATGCGTCACTTTTGCAATGTTGACCTTCCGTGACGTCATTTATGACGTCATCAAGGTCATATTAGTTTTTCGTCAATAACTCCCGATCAAATTGAGCTAGCGAGTCGGGAAAGCCACCAATGGACTCAGGAAGACCTGACGAATCGAATGATATGCGACATGACCTCTTTCGACCAGCTTCGTGACCTGGGGGTGCTGACCTGACCTTGACTGAGGTCAACACCCTAAGTTGACCTGACCCGAACAACAAGTATATCATTCGACGCGCCTGAGCAAGGCGAACACGATGCTGCCAAAATCGCGGCTCTGCGGCCGTTTTTTGCGAAGTTATTCACCAAAAACTGAACCGTACCCTGGGGCACTTGACCTGACCTCAGAGGTCACCGGTTGACCTAGGACCTTAAAATCGGGTACCAATCTCTGCGTCTCGTAACGGCACACACGCTCGTTTTTTCCGCGACGCGCTAGCTCCATCAGGGGCGAAACGGCGAGGGGGGGTCGCACCCGCCCCCCCCCCCCTCGGCCGGCGCGTATGTAGAAAACCAATAGGTCCGGCGAGGGTTAAATTACGTTGCCGATGCATTTTGTCCATAACTCATAGAGGGGCTTTACGTGCTGCAACTAGTTTGTTTGTGCCTCATGATTGAATCTCTTGAAAAAAAAAATGGAGCTCAAACATATTTAGTAGTTGAGGGTAAGACACCTCCCCCCCCCATACAATTCACTGTTTGCGTCAGGGCTGCGGAATCTATGCCTTTTCGACGCCTCCAATGCCGACACCGACTCCGGTTTCCAAAAAAACTTCGACTCTTAACTCCGGGCTCCGACTGTCGACTCCGATAGACTCCAATTCCGACTCAGACTCGGCAGACCTTGAATGACTGCAACAAGGCTATGACCGCTGCGAAGTCGATGGATTTTCGGTGGCTCCGACTCCGGCTCCGGCTTTACTTCCATAATCGGCTCCGACTATAAGTTGACTATAATATAAGGTAAGTATCAGGTAAGTGAGGTTAGTATAAGTAAGCATATAAGATTAGTATAAAGTAACACGCCCCTCCCCGGGGCGTTTTACCCACCCCATGGGTAAGACGCCCTTTTGCAAGACTTTTTTAAACATCTGTGTCGCACACTACACCTACATACACCTACACTGTACGTATAGGTGATAACGCACAATTTCCAGCTCGCAAAGAAGGAGAAATAGTTGGTCTCCTAATGCACACATATCTCAATCGTGGATGCAATTATGCGGAGAGTGCTTTTCATTTTCCCTAAAGGGAAAATGAGAGTCTTACCCCACTCTCCCCTGCTTACTTACCGATTAATGTTCGGGGTAGGTATTTAAATACGGCCCTCCAGGCACTAAGTGGTTAGTTGCCAACTTCACAATAGTCGATCTCGATCTGCTTTCATGAAAGTACGTCTAATGGTTGTTGAAAACCGTTGCCGAAGTGTCCGCACGAACCCTCTTATCATTTCTATTGGGTAATGGGTCATTTTATTGGCGTGTCTCTGTCATTCAAAGTTATTATGCCAAAAACACATCGGTTAACTAACCACCCTTTTACTGGAGGGCTGTGCGCTCCATGAGAGCTAATCTGCAATTGTATGTTTATTGCCTCAGAGTTCAGACGCATGTTTTGGATGGCTCTGCAAGGCGTGTCGTCGCATGCAATGAGCTGCTGTTGTAAGTGGAACTTCTGCACAAAACGTGTCATTTTCTAAGACATCTGTAACTTCTATCTAAGCCTCTTTCTTCATGCGGTACAATGCAGCTCCAATTTGCTTGCCGTGGCGAGCATTTCCAGTCCACTTTGTAGTGCCGTTTGGGCCGAGATATTTTTCACAGTCACCACAACTCATGCCGGCGGTGGGTTTCTTACAATCGGGTGACAGGCCGGCCGGGCCGGCCGCCGGACGTTCAGACCACCACTAATTTTAAGGCTTGCTTCGAACGTAAATTTAACGGAGGCGGAGTTCTTTGTTACGGCCAATGAATGCTGATGGTTCCGCGCAACAGTAACTTAAGACAACCACAACAGCTTGCTGTGAAAGACGAGCGATCTGTCAAGACAGCCACCCCAAGGCTGATGTACAATGCAGGGACGGATACTGCAGTAGCTGACATATTTGTAATTATATAGGTAGGTACAGCGCAGGCAGCGTAGCACAACTGCGAGCATGGGCGATGCTCACACTGGCTCGTAGGATATCAGCCATTATAAGTCTACATAAAAGCTAAAGCCTACACGTCCAGCTCATGACTATCACAAATGATGAGCTTTCCGTAAAGTAGTCGTATATACGTGCCCCGCATCCCGTGCATTAGCTGGTCTGGTAGAACATGTCTGGTAGGCAATGCATGGCAATACCTACCTACCAACCTGACGTCAGATCGGCCACGTGAGCTCAGCATTGTCAGAAGTTAGCAACTAGGGAGTAGGGGAAATATGGATACCTACTGCTATTTTGACGCCGTAGGTAAATGATCAGTTAAAATAATCAGCAAATGATCACGCAAATTAGATAAGTTTTATACACTCCATGCAAGGGCCGATGCTCCACCTTGACCTTTGAATTTTAATATGGTCTTATTGTAATTGGTCATCTGAGTTTTTCGTCCTAAATAACATTTGAATTTTGAAAGATATATGTAGGAAACGTGCACACAGAGTACATAAAAGGTACGAAATTGCAGTCCATCCATTGCCAATGCAGTTCCTAAGATATTTAAACAAAATCTTTAGCAAATTTTTCACTTAGGTCTTGGTGACGGCCAGAAGTTACTGTTCAAAATGATAGGTACCTAATGCCATGGGTCTCAAATCTCAATATGAGCTTTAACCTTAGTAACTTGATGGAAAACTCCTCATCACCTGAAAATGTCGTCCCAATATGTCATCTAGTTAGTGGTTACATTTTATTGCATTTGAAAATAATTTGCCCGCATCTGAATTCTGAAACCTTATACATATAACCTGGGACACTTGGAACAGTGTGCGCACGAGCCATCCGGCACAGCATCGATCAGGCGCTGTCCTTGTGCGACATCTATCGTCTGAATTGTAAGCTCTAGTTCATGATGTTTGGATTTTGGAACGATGGAGCGCGGATGGATTGTGGTTATCGGCACCTGAGCTCAGTCTCGAGTCGACTCACATGACCTTTCCCTAGATATTTTTAACTGAATCCTCCGTTCCGTCGTTTCCATCCTCACGATAGCCAAATCCTTCTCCTCTACGCCTCCATCCCCTGTTCCGGGCTGGGGGGGGGGGGGGGAAGAGTTCTCTATATATGTAACCGTGGAGGGAACTTTATCCCATGCCGCATGGGCCATGCGGATAGCTCTCGAGCAGACCCGTAGCCGGGTGCGGTGACTGCTAGGGGGGGGGCTGGTTGGCCTGTCCACTGGGTGGGGCCCCACCACGAGTCACCAGGGTGCCCGCCCGGGCCAATGTCTGCCCCCTAATTCCTATAATCCTTCCGTCTCTGGAATATAAAAATAAAGTTAAACTGAACGGGGAAACATTGAAATGGTTTGTTTATGTTTTGTCGAAAGCGTTTTGTATCCAGAAATCCGGAGACGATTATTCCTTAGTCAGCGTTTGACTGGAGGTTCTAAAAGTAAAATTGTAATTTTTTTAATACCCCTTCATGTTTCAATGCACGGCGTCTCGGAGCGTCCACACTCGTTTTAGAGCTATAGTTCAAAAGTGACGAAGCGCGAAGCGATGAAGGGGCAAATAACTCGGCTTGCACCACGTCACCTGCCGACGACGGTATGCCCCACTCCTGAGTGAAACTGGGCGACTTGACTTTCCCAATTAAACGGCCTGTCGAGCGTAGCTGACCGCTTGCAGCAAGCAAGATATTGTTTTGAATCTTGCTTGCTTTTGTTTTGAAATTGATATTGCTTTGAAAAATTGCGTAAAATAAACTGATGTCAAGCGACCTGACCCCGTTTATTCTTTGCCTCAATCATGCAACACTTCATTCCGAAATCAACCAATGGCAAGCGAAGCAGCTCTCCAATAAGTACGAGGGTACCTTATATCAGTTGCCGACATACCATTAAATCAGCTTCATTGCCATCGTAAGACACGGCGAACGATTGAGCAGAACGGCTGGCGTATCGAATACTGAAGTGAATTTTACTCGCTAGATGCCGGCCTGTATATGAGTGGGCACGAGTGATACGTACATGATTATGAATAACATGCTTTTATCAAATTCACGTTATGCATACTTCAAAATACAATTATCAAAGCATCCGAATTCCTTAACAATTTAAACGGAAGACTAGTAAACGGCATGTTGCGCAACTTTCAATTAAGTACGACTCAATAACAGCCCCTGCGAACGATAACGCACGATATGTCGTACATAAGCGAGATCACCGAAAAATCACACCTCAAATCGAGTTCATAATGAATCCCATCGAGTGATGGTTACGCTGTAAATGACAAGTTTCATTTACAAACCACTACGTCCCCTGCAATTACATGGGACAGCACGTTCCTCGAGTTTACATGGTGAGTAACACTACAGGGACGACCGGCCGGGGTCGGGTCACCCCGCCCACCCGGGGACAGCCGCAGCGGTCGGCCGGGCTCCGCGCGGTCAGGGAAGGGCCACGGAGAACAGCAGCGGCTCGGAGGTGTCCACCGTCACCAGTTCGCTGACGGGCCGGTTGGAGGTGCTGATCAGCTGGCCGAACGCCATCGGCTGTCCGGCCAGGTCCCACCGGAGGCCGCTGGTGGTGACGGCCGCCGCCGGCGCGCCCACCGGCACCAGCGAGCACCAGTCGGAGCGCAGCTCGGGCGGCAGGTGGATCTCGTGGCGGCCCGACGGCAGCAGGAACGACAGCGACTCGGCCGCCAGTAGGTACACGGGCGCCGCGAGCAGCGTGCGCGCCGTGAACAGCGTGTTGATGTTGGCCAGCACCTGGTCAATGCGGCCAGTGTTCTCCGCCACCACGGTCACCCAGGCCAGGTGAGCCGGGCCGCGCTCCGCCGCCACCCGCAGCGCCTTGGTGAAGTCCGTCTCGTCTTGATCCGGTGTCGCGATGAAACGACAACCGCTAAAGAACGCCCGTGTCTCGTCCGTGATTGAATCGAAATCCCCCGTTATGAAATCCGGCAGTTTGGCGGCTTCCAGCGCGAGCTTGTCCCGATCCTCTATTAATTTCCTGAGCACGTTTGTTCCGCCGTCCACAGACAAGCGAAGGCTCGCGCGGTTCCAAACGCGCGAAACCTCCACCTCCCTGCCATCTACGGGACGATTCAGAAGCAGGCAGGCGTAGTCTGCTCCGCCAGGGGCGTCCAAGTACGTAAGGACTTCGACGGGGCGCCAGACCCTTGCGGTTTTCTCCGCGTCGTTCGTCGACATGCTGTGGATGCCACATGGGTTAGGTCAGATGTTTCGATGACAGTTATACAGAACCACACGAATGTGCGTAGCATAGAGATAAGGCATTGCCATTGGAAACTTCAGACCGGGAAGGGTAGAGGAGGATGAGGAAACCAACGCGCATTGCCTGCCTGATGTTAGGTATATGCCCCGCTTCGCATAGAGTTGGAGGTGAAAATTTCCGGCCCCGAGATGGACACTAACAAAAGAACTTGACTGCCTAGTGTTGTTGGGGCTACATAGATAAGGAATGTCTATAAATAATGAGAATCTTGAAATAAATGAGCACAACTTGAACTGGCAAATCAGTGAAAGCATACCTAACCAAACAATTAGCGTCAGATAGGTAAGTGATAACCTGATGTGTTGTACCAGCAACCGTTAACGGACACTTGGATCTCTTGACCATGACTGTAATAATTATGAGGGCCGGCAACATAAGGTAACTACAAACAACTCACCCAATTCCAAGCACTCTGATGACCGGATCTTTACTCTGCACCGCACCGGATATCCCCCGCCGTCCCCGCCCACATTGCGTTATTTTGCGGCGTTCATCGTCTCGCGTGCGTCAGAAGTGCTACAACTCAAAGTTTCACCGAAAAAAAATATACGACAGCATGAAAAGTTTAATGACGTCATAGCTATCGATCCAATGGTTGCATGAATTTGAACCAATGCTTTTCAATAGAAACGTAATTCATCAAAGATATTTTTAAAGTTTCGATTTTTTCAATTTAGCCAAAATTTCAACTTAGATATGATCTATTTTTTATGTTCCTGGTTCCAATGAAGTTCTTATTGTCTTGTTTTTATTGTTTCAATGACGCAATAGTGATCTTATTTTGTATTTACATTTGACATAATACCTCATCATTTGACGTGTGCTTATGCATGGTCAAGGTGCGGAAGTGAGGGGAAGCAAGGGGATGGTGTGGGGGTCTCTCATTGAGTTTTTGGGAAGAAGATAAACAATTCATTTTTCGTCCGTTTCCGAAAGGAATGAGGTTGTTGTGATGATGAGCAATTAATTTGTTCATTCTTTTTGACCATGGGCAACAACCAAAGTCACGAACAAGATGTGTTGATGGCTTCATTGGCCAATAAACGTGAACTGGATATAAGCAAGAAGTTATCTCATTCTTCATATGTTAGAGTGAGTACCTACTGATAACTTTATTGCGGATAACTTAACTTGCTAGTACGCGTGTGTCAGAGATGCTCAAAATTTACACTGTAGGACTGTAGGTTGATTTTTTGACTAGGTATCTTGATCTAGTGTCTTGTTTGCCTTATACAACAAAACTGAAAACATGGTGTGGTAAATGCTGGTTAAATGTTGATGCAAGAAAACTTGTGCTTGTCTGTTTGTAACATTTCACCAACTTCTAACAACTTGTGCTTACTTAACTTACCGTATTCAGTTTGGGAATCAGAATTGAAAGTCATTAACAATGACTCATTATGCCAGCCAGGGGTGGGCCGTGGGGTCCCTGATCTCATCAGACTCCATTGGCCATTGTCAAGTGATGGATGGTCATGAGCTTTCAAAAAAATGTACTGTGTATAGATTGGTCTCAATGGCAGTCTAAATCATGAGAATGATGGAGCCCAGCTCTAGTACACATGGGGTGGGCTAGTTTGGGGGTCTCTTCAGTTGAGTCAAATGTGCTGCAGCCTGGTTGGATGCTTGAGCCTGACGGCTACGTGCCCTAATCCACGAAGAAGAAGAAGGTGCAGCCTGCCAGTCTGTGCCAGTGACATACTGACTTATAACAGCCCCTCAGTTCTCACACCATACTATGGTGGAGCCCACATACTGTACAGTTACACACAGGGAGGGCTGGGTGGGGAGCAGCAGGGTCTATACTCTATACCTCACAGAGATGCAGGCCATCTATTGAGGTGTTGTCGATTGTTTCTCACCAGTCACTTAGGAAGGGTGTGCTGGGCTCAGCAACACAGTCACAGAGTCACATGGACATGGTGTATCAGCTTTAAAGTTACACTTGCACACACGCCTATCTCACAGCACAGCATCCATGGCAGAGCCTCCCTGTATCATGCAAGGCCGGGTATGCTGCAGAGTCTCTTACTACCAGGTCAATATGTGACACTAGCCATTCAGATGTTTTCAAATAATTTCAATTTTTCCATATTGTGACCATCCAAACTTTTATCATTATAGCTTGAGTAATTGGTGTGACCTGTGACCATATATGGTTATACCAGAGCTGCAGAGTCAAATCTACTCTGTAAGTTGTAACCCTGCTGTAAATGCTTATCCAAAACAGAAGTATAGCCCTAGCCCCTAGCTGTGACAAGATCTGTTTTGTGGAGGTCAGCGAAAGCAAAACTTTCTAGCAGACAGCTGCCAAGCATGACTTTGAGCCATGTAATCCTGACTCCAACTCCAGAGTCCAGACAGAACTGTCGACCCTGATCGACTCTGACTCTGCATTTCTTTGTGCTTATTTGCACTTTAGCAAATGACTAATGGTTTTGAGGATTATCAGTAGTCGCCAAACAAAAAAGTGATGTTAGAGTCTTGTTCATGCACTATTGGTCTCAAGTTAAGGGCCCAGGTGACCTGTAGTTTTGATGCGGTGAATACCCATACCCTTACCCTCGCCCAGCCCACTCGAGTTGTGGCGAGGGTGAGGGTATTCACCACACCCGAACTACAGGTCGCCTGGGCCCTTATTTTAGACCAATAGTACACACCTGGCTTACCAATCCTAATTTCGCAGCACACCCAAGGCGAGGACATCGAGGGCTGCCTCACCGATCTTCCCTGGGAAATTGTGGACGAGGTGTCTCTCTACGAGCGTGTCAATGTGTCATTCAACCTCATCACCACACTGCCCGTGGAGCTACCACTGCGGCTGCCACATCTTCAGCACCTCAACCTCAGTCACAACCGGATCAAGGAACTGCCTGAGAGCATCGCGCTCTTCTTCCACCTGGAAGAGCTGAATGTGTCGTTCAACCTGCTGTCGGCTTTGCCTCGCAACATCACAAACATGCGCAAACTCTGTGTGCTCGACATCTCGCACAACCAGTTCCAGCGGCTGCCGGACGACATCGGTGACATTCCTGGCCTGCAGAAGCTGAACGCCTCCCACAACCAGCTGTCGCTGCTGCCGACCTCCCTGGGCACCAGCCCCAGCCTGGACGTGCTGCTCGTCGACGGCAACAAGTTCCTGAGCACCATCTACGAGGCCGGCTCAGACAATGTGCTCGCTCAGCTGCGCGAGGCAGCGCCGGCACCGAGCGTGGCGCCGCCGGTGTCGGCGCAGGCCGTGTTCACGCGGCAGAACGCGCCGGCGCGCGGCCAGTTCGCCCAGCTGCAGGCGCAGAAGGTGGAGACGGGCCGGCGCACGCGTACGCCGCTGCTGCCGCCGTCGGGCGCCTCGCGACTGGAGCCGGAGCGACTGCGGGACGCCGTGGTGGGCCTGCTGTACGGCGGCGCGCTGGGCGACGCGCTCGGCCTGGCCACGGACGGCCTGAGCGGCGACCAGTGCCGCTTCCACTACTCGGCCGAGTACACACTGGCCGACACGGTGCGGGACGAGCGGCGCGTGCGCTACAGAGACGGCGACTGGACCAGCAACACTGACCTCATGGTGAGTGGCCGAATGGAGCCGTGTGAGTCCACTTGTCGGCTGGATGATCCACCTCTGCTAAATTCAGTGCTGAACTTACGACCTATGCACGACAGGTCTTGTCTGTATCTGTCTTGCTAGCTAGATTTCTTTGGTGATGGGTAGCGTAGCCGTATTTGCCGTAGTGAGTTCATTATTTTACCGGAAGGTACAGCAGTTTCCTCGTCTGACAGTACCCAGTAGCCACTAATTCTGCCGGCATCAGTTGAATGGCTGATACCAGACGACAATGCTAACCTCTGTCATAAGAGTCGGAGGCGCTGAGTTCTGTAACAAATGTCTCCGTGTCTGGCGCGGCTGCTGACCGCCGGGTGCCGCCCGTGGTGTCCGACAGCTGGTGGCGCTCGACTCGCTGCTCCACTGGGGCGGCGTGCTCGACGAGCTGGACCTGGCGCAGCGGCTGCACAGCTGGCGAGAGCGCGGCCTGCCAGAGGTGGCCGACGCCCGCCGGCCGGCCGCAGACCTGCACGTGGTGCGGGCCATCGACACGGACGGCTTCACAGAGTCGCCGCACGCGGCCGCACGCCGAGCCGCCGGCGTCGCCAGCTCGGCCAACAACAACCTGAGTCCGGCGCGGCCCGGCACCTCGGCGGCGGCGGCCGACGACGGCTGCCTGCCGATGGCCGTCATTTGCGGTGAGTGGCTGTGAACGATTTGGGGTTATGACAGGTTGAGGATGCTGAAGGTTGGGATATGATCTAGACCCTTTTTTACAGTTTTCAATTAAATTAGTGAAGGTAGGACGACACTGCACCGATTGTTTGCTTTTGTGATTGCCAAGACTTTTCTCTCGCGTCACCATGCAACAGTAAAGAAATGTGAATTAATGATGTAATGTTCTTGCCGACATTACCACAGACGCCCGTGACCGTGCTGTCATATCCCGTTGAGCGTGTATGGTCCATTCTTTGACAGGAATCCCGCGCTTCCACGACCTCTCCGAGGTGGCCGGTAACGCGCAGCGGGTCTGTCTGACCACACACGCGGCGCCCGTGTGTGTGGCGGCGTGTGTGGCGCTGGCGGCGCTGGTGGCGCAGCTGCTGCAGGGCGCCGCGCACTCTGCGGACCAGCTGGAGGAGGCGCTGCGCACGGCCGCCTCGCTGGCCGGAGAGTTCACGGCGGGGGAGGAGGAGCGGAAGGCCCTAGAACAGAGCCTGCTGGACACGGAGAGCGGCAGGTGAGACCGGCGCGGCGGAGCGCGCGGCCAGACCGATGGACATTGTCTGCTGACAGCACTCTGCTGTGGTGTTGAATAATTCACTGTATCTGTGTTTCAAAATTGATGTCTTTTTTTCTGTCGTTTTTTTTTTTGCATAAAAGACGCCTCTTCAGTCAGTCCCTCTTTGATTCCAATTTCAATTTTATAAATTCTAGAGTAGACTGTCATTCTTTGCTTGGTATGATCTCAAGGCATATAATCACTGCATGGATCTATGTATCCTAGGATATCTTGATTATTTTCAGCTGATCTGAATTTTGTCATAGGTCCTGTCTCAGTAATCTATGACCGTTTACGGCCGTCGCTGTCGGTGCCCTGTTGTGATCAGTTACTCCCTCCCCGGTTTTCGGCAGCGTGGATCCGAGCGAAGGCGGCGTCCTGGCCACGCTCTCGGTGGCAGTCGCGGCGCTGCGGCTCGGCTGCCGGCGCGAGGAGCGGTCGTCAGCCGCGGGTCCGCTCGACTGGCGCCGCCTGGTCACCCTGGTTACTCTGCAGGGCGGCCGGGCCAGCGTGCGGGGCACGCTGTGCGGCGCGCTGCTGGGAGCGCGCAGCAGCCTGGCCGGCCTGCCGGCGACACTGCTCGCCCAGCTGCGGCCCGGACACACAGAGTACCTCAGCGGCAAGCTCAACAGCCTGCTGGACCTGATGGCGCTCTAGGAGCCGCTGCTGGCTGCTGGCTGCCGTCAGACAAACTGCTGAGGGGAATCGGGACTGATCGGGACCCGACTGTATTTGAGTGTCTACTGGGCTCGGTGAGGCATCCTTGTGTAGGTTTTGCAGGCTATGAATGCGGCTTGGTGAATCTGGTGAGTCGCTGAAGACGGGCTACCGATCTGGTTGATCGGCTGGGCCGGCAGAATAGAGAGTAGGTCAGTTTCATTATGGGGCTCAACACCAAACCTGGTCTGGGCGATAGCTTTGAGGCTAGACAAGCGACTGGTCTGCCTGAGACGGGCGCAGCTTTGTGGTTGTCAGTCAGTTTTGCTGAATGTTGTTGATATTCGTATGATTACTGCCCTTTTCACAATGGGCAAGTTGTTCGCCGATAATGTTCGCCGAATATCGACTTCTGGGGCGTGGAGTCGTGGACAGATGTGTCTTGTGATCCTATATGCGGCGCTGGGTGGACACATGGGTTAAGTAGGTTACTGCCGCTGTGTCAGCGGGTCAGCCACCTAGTGGGGCAGTTTCTGTCGGTATCCCGTCTGAAGGTAACGGCGTGCTGTGCCTTGTAATGTCTGCCAGTGATCCGGTGTTGATGGTGATGTATCACTAACTACGAAACTATTTTTGTAAGGAGTAATTTTATACGATATATGGCCACGGGACTATGTGGGCCAACAGGGTGTCTTTTTCCGGGCAACAATCTATGGGTTGTGAATGTTCCGAGTACAGGGTGATGTCCCGGCGATGCCAGTACGTTTGTACACACAGGATACCTGGGGCTACTGTGTTGGTATTGGGATCCGACAAAGTGGAGAGTGGGGATGCGAGCGAAGCTAGGCTTTTCGAATTGGCCCGGCGATTTGCTGGCTGTGCAAAGCTGTACAATAGCGCAGCTTCCATCGCCTGAGTTGGGTGTTGTGCGTTGTTACTTTGTGGCGCGAATTGTTAACTTATTCTCCAGTATATGGACGTTGTTGGCATTGACTGAATAAATATAGTCGGGGCTGACTAATGTGTTCCATATTTAACTCAGCCTCTAGTTTTGTAGTTGGTGGCACCTGAATGACGATGATTTCACGAAGCTGTTCTTCTGTCATCTAAGCGGGCACCCCTAAAACCAAAATATCACTTAATTTCGTCACCCTGTCTCTCACCGTCCCTCCCAACCACTGTTCGGGAATCCTGTACGGAATAGTCGGTACGGGGCATATATTTCAACATCCGCTCCACGTACATATGTTCAACAATAGAGCCCGCCCCACCTGTTCAAGTACACAGCAGCCCAGCAAACCCTGCCATGGTACACACTCAGACGCGCAACTAGATGAGGTTTCATATGACCGACCTGATCAAACGGCCTCCGTACATTATGTGGCAGACTCCGTCGGGTACGGTCAAGTTGTACAGACGTCAGCGTCGGCTTGCGCGTATACTGAGTGGGGACGCCACATCAGCTGCATCGGCAGTACCATTGTGATGCGAGTGGCGTTACACATTGGACAACAACTCGCTAGGGCACGGAACAACTAGGTGAGCAACACATCAAACTTCATAGTCGGGTGACATGTCAATGAGCTGACCTGCCACGCCCACAGGCTGGTGATAAAACTGGCGTAACAGCCACATAGCGTTGAAGGCACGTCATCATAGTTCTTGATGTTAAATACCGACATATTTGTCTCGTGACACGAGTCCTTTCCTGTGCCACATAACGACTGTCCTGCGGCGCGCAGCACCACGGTTTCATTCAGCTGAAGGAGGGCGTCAGGCTGAGTCACCAGGTGTTATGTTCAGTGTTCACCGCGCGCCACACCTCACTGCCGTCACTGGTAACGGCACATTGTCGCAGTAATTACTCCGTGTCCTCCGCTCCCTCAGGGAGAGGCGGCAGCATTGCTCCGGTCACCAATGACCCCACACTGCCCAGGTCACTCCATATCCTCGTCCTCATCTCCCTCAGGTAGCGCCGGCAGCGCGCCAGTCTCGCCACCCGGCCGGTACAGCGCCGCCGGTGCCGCCACGTGCGGGTCGTACGTCCACTTGGGGAAGACGCGCTTGTAGAGGTTCAGCAGGATCGTGTCCTGCGAGTTGATGGGCCCGTTGAACACCACCTTCATGTGTCCGTGTGTACCTGACGGAGCGAGGTGGCGCGTCAGACGCAGGCCGAGCTCATCGTAACGCCATGGGAGCGCCAAGTAAGGAGGGACCGGGGAAGATTCTACTAAACCAGCAAATAGCAATGGTGAAAAAAGAAGAAAAAAAAGCACTCGGACCGGTACGGTTAACACGCGCAGTGGAAGGGGGGGGGGGGCGGATTTCGCCCACCCCTCCTGTTTTTCGCCAATAACTCGCGCCGCAAACATAATATTAATGTGAAACTTCGGCTACCTGTCCAGAATTGAATTGCGGATCTTCTCGTGCAAGAAATAAGAAAATCGGTTCACAACTTTTCTAGTAATAGCGGTGTAAAGTCAAACATCCTGCCGCCGCGGCGGCGCGGCGGCGCGGCGGCCGGCGCTAGCCGTTACGCGCCGCCTGAATTGTAGACTGTGCCGGGGCGGGACAGTTCCGTCTTTACATCGCGCTCCTTACCGCTGGTTAAGTTAGATTCGCGTCAAAGTCGGTGAGAAGATTGAGAAATGTACAGGCAATCATATGATCAAAGAATTTTGAAAATCGGCCGGTAACAACTTGAGTTATGAGTGTGTAAACACAAAATTTGTGATTGCCGCGTTTCCCGCGTCCGCCGATCCCGCTTCAGCCGGCGACATCTTACTCTTAGCAGGCTTCTACCTGCCATAATTATTGCTGGATTATCTAGAAATTCACCATACATACTAACAAATGTTTGTCCTTTCGTATAGTGAAAGAAAAAAGAAAATCGGCCGGTAACTTTTTGAGTTATCGGCGTGTAAACGCAAAAAAGTCGCTCATATGGCAGATTTGACCACATTTGACCTCATTTGACCTTGAAGATATTGACCTAGGGTCATGAAATTCACACACAACAGAGTTCCCCATAGCCCCCACCTACCCTCCAAATTTCGTCTTTCTAGCTCCAGTGGGAGCTGAGATCTTAGGGGGGGGGGGGCGACATCCGCCCCCCCCTTCCACTGGGCGTAGTACTCGCAACCCTTCCACTGCGCGTGTTAATGGTTTTCAGACTGTAGAGTGCTTACCCAGAGGCTCCTTGATGTTTCCTCTCCGGCCGTACTTGGTCTTCAGTTCGATGGGCTTGAACCACAATATATCCTCACGGTTGAAGAACATATACCTGCAAACGAAACACGTGGCCTGGTCAAAACATGCAGTCGTCTCCATGTTCCACTATGACTATGGCGTGTTCATCATTGAGCTTCCTACTTTATGTGGCTGTGAACCAACACAAGTCAAGCCCCTAGTGTAACGCCTCCGTCTCGCCCTCGGCCGTTCGTTACCTGGCCACCGCCGAGCGTTTGTTGATCTTGAACGGGTGTCCGCTGAGCACCACGCGCTTGGTGACGATCCGGTCCGGGTTGACGGAGAGGATCGAACCGGTGGCCACCAGGTCCTGTCGGTGCCCGCCAGAACACAGCTGGTCAGTGGAGAGGTCGCGCGGTCGGAAGGGGGACACTCCGAACAAGCTCTCCGACAACCGAACAGCAGGCACAGAGCTGCAGTCAACCCCACACAATCATCAAAGCTAAATATAGTTTGCGCGACCCCTCAGAGGCCTGGCTTCATGTCCTTAAATCGGTGTGGGTTAACCAGCTCATTTTGTTTATGTTTTTTCGTCAATGTGACCATCCGGTCCATGCCTGGCTTTCATGTCCGTCCTTCCATTTCGTACCTGATCCATGTTCCTTCATCCCGTACCTGGTTCCCGTCTCTGTCCTCTATTTCGTACCTGGTGTCCACCCCTGTACCTCCGTCCCGTGCCCGGTTCCCGCCCCTGTCCCCTCCCTCCGTACCCGGTTCCCGTCCTCATCCCTTCGTCCCGTACCTGGTTCCCGCCCCTGTCCCTTCCCCTCCGTACCTGGTTTACAGTCCCTAATTCCCCGGTCCCGTACCTGGTTCTCGTCCCTGTCCCCGGTCCCGTACCTGGTTTCCTTCCCTGTCCTCATGCAGCACCAGCACCGGCGCCGGTCCGTAGGTGATGGGGGCAAAGAACGTGGCCACCACGGCCTGGTCGGCGCGGAAGAACCGCTCCATCTGCGGCACACCACGAGACCAGACGAGGGGGTCAGACAGCGTGCTACGAACAGCGGGGGGGGGGAGGGGAGGGTGACATCAGCAACAGATATTTCTTATAAGACGCTCATAGATAGTAGATACAACAAGTCAATAGTCTATGTATAGCCCAGACGCCGTAGTTTTAAACTCGGCGCTACCTTGTGTTTGTCTCCGTTGGTGTGCTGGCTGAAGATGGGCGCCGCGCCGAACCGCCGGAAGCCCACGTGGAAGATGAGCCTCTCCTTGGCTCTGATGGGCCGCTGGTGACCGGCCGAGTGGCGCTGCAGCACGCAGTTGATCACCGACATCTTCTGCTCGTGCGCCAGCAGTCCGAACAGCACTAGCGGCGCCGCCGGGTCCCGGCTGAGCCACAGGTGCGACGGCACCGACACCAGCTTCACAGTGACGTACTGGCCCGGCTGTAATTGGGAGAGGAGTCACGTCAGATCGGGTCAAGCAAGTCGAGAGACGTCGACCAATGACGTTGCCTGATGATGAGATTTTTGAGCGCCCGGAATTCAGAGTTGACATCTGACCTGCACCGCCGCGGCTAATCAGTCTCGGCACCATCCCGATACACACTCACCCATTTCCGTCCTCCGTCAGTCTGTCCCTCTGCCCCCGCTGTCATCTCACCTGGGCACCATCGGTCTCCTCTTTGAGTGCCTGGCGCCGCGTGCGCTCAAAGTTGGCGAACTGGAAGCAGCGGGCGTACTCTGCCGGCAGATTCTCCTTGGGGTCCCAGGACGAGCCGCGGAACGACGCCAGGCCGCGGTACTTCTGGAACCGCACCCGGGCCGGCACCTCTTTGGGCGTGTCAATCTCGTCCGGGAACATCTCGTCTTCACGCGCCTCTGTCGCAAAACGATGGCACCAGTCAGACACTAACAAACAGCGGTATATAACACCAGACAAGACACCGCCAGCTAATTAAGCAGGCACTGTCAGGTTAATTCACAAGCAACTTCGGATGCTGTCAGACAACAACAGACATCATCAGATATCGCCAGATGCTGCCAAACAATGCCGCATGATGCCCCAAATCGCCGTTATACTGACATATACCGTTAGGATACTGGCACACACTGTCAGACACCGTTACATGCAGCTGGCCCCACACCGCTTAGTAGGTAGATAACATACATCATTTAGTGATTCCTCCGCGGTTGGTGTGTAGTGGGGCCCATCACACATTTGGTACCAACTTGTTCTCGTTGACTGTCATTGTTAGATTGTCGGTGTGTGTGACTGACCTTTGATGCGTTTGAGCGTGGCCTCCTCCTCGTCCATGTCCATGTCGCGGTCGTACTTGTCGTCGTCGACGGGCGCCTCGGACACGGTGGCCGTCTCGGCCGCGTCTCCCGTCTCCTCTCCGTCGGAGGCCGGCTCGTCGGCGGCCGCCGGGCCCGCCTCGCCGCCCTCCTCGTCACACGACATACCGTCGTCGGAGTCGGAGGCGCCCACTTCCTCGCCGTCTGTGGAGCGGGGGAAGAGGAAGGACAGGTCATATCACTGGCGCGCACTTCCTCACCGTCTGTGGAGCGGGGGCAAAATAGTTTCGTAGGACCGGAGCCTGTCCACTCAATGCTCGTAGGCGACTGACACACCCGCTACCCTATGAGAAGGGGAGTCGCACTGACCGCTGTCGATGATCCAGGCCGCCTGATACTCGGACATGCCCTTGGGCACGCGCTTCTTGCGCGCCACCTTGTTCAGTGTCTCGGCGTCCCTGAGCGCGTCATCCTCCGGCCACGGATCGTCGCCATCCATGTCGTCATCGGGCACGTTCTCAGATTGCAGCGACTCCTGGCGGCGGCAACGGACGGGCGCAGGTGCGGTCAGGTGGGTAAGATGCGGGCTGCGGTGAGGGCAAATAAAGGGAGGGGTGGTAGTAAGGCCAGGGTGGATAAGGATGTTCAAGTGCGGACAGTGGAGCGCTTGGACAGGTAGTGAAGCACGGAGGTGGTCGGGTGTAGCTGCCATGAGTGGCGAGGTCAAAACGGCACAGTACCATCAGCTCCCCGGTCTTTAAAATGGTCTAGTCTGGCAAGGTCTCCAACTGACCTGTGAGGCAGGTCTGCAGGCTGTGACTGACCTGTGTAATGAAGCAAATGGTCTGGTCTGTAGACTGTAACTGACCTGTGTGGCGAGATTTGGTTTGATCTGTACACTGTAACTGACCTATGAGGCGGGTCTGGTCTGGTCTGTGGTCTGCGACTGACCTGGGTGCCGGCGTCTGTAACTGACCTGTGTGGCGGGGTCGGCGCGGCTCAGCACCGTCTCGCCGGCCTCGGTCATAGCCTGATCGGCGTCGGGCCGTCGCCGCACCGTCAGCGGGTGCGGGTCGCTGGGCGCCGTGATCTCCGACATCTGGAAGTCACCCCAGCCGCTGACGTGCACCAACCGGCTGGCGGAGAGCGGCCGCCGGCCCCGCAGGTAGCCAGACACCGACAGCGTGCCGTAGCCAGCCTGCGCAGAGAGCACACTGGTTGGTAACGCGCAGTCCGCGAGGACGCAACAAAGCCTAATCTCGCTGAAACGGACATCAGTTACTATGGTTCAACTTCCAGAGGAATGATCTAGAAGAACAGACGGAATTCAATAGGAGATGCTAAGGAACTCATAATCTCCTGATCTGTTCAGATTGTAGTGTAATCCCAACTGACCTGCTGCGGGATCGGATGCCCTATCTCTCCCCACTGGCCGGCTGAGGGTCCTCAGTGTCCCCCCCCCCCTCCCCATTGAACCGCTGCGGGTCCGGAGTGCACCTCCACCCCCCCCCCCCCCCACACACACACACTGACCTGCTGCGGGTCCGGCGTGAACTCGAGCCGCTCGGCCAGCAGGTGGGGCCGCCGCTCGCGGAAGGTGACCGGCCGCAGTCGGCCGCTGCTCAGGTGGTGCAGCAGCGCGGCCGCGTCCGACGGCGCCGACAGGGCCTGCAGCCGACAGTCGCGGCCGGCGAACCACCGCTCCAGCTGCTTCTGGATCGCCTTCTTGGCCTCGCTCTGACGCTGGCGAAGATTACGGACGGCGTCATTCACACAGCGGGCTTCATGATCACGTGAGGCACAAACACCATAATGGATCATGAAAAACAGTCGCAAGAACAGTTGCAAACTGAACGTCTTAAAACTTAGGAACAAGTTCATTCCAGGACGGCGAGGGCTGACAGAGCAGCTAACGGCGTTTTCATTTGACAGGGGCTGCAGTAAGTCACCATTCCTAGCTGTCCCTAAACTACCCCGCCGCTGACCTTTGGCGTGGCCTCGCTCAGCCCGAGCACGGCCTGCGCGCACGAGGAGACGCCGTGTGCGAACACAGCCGACAAGAGCCGCGTGCCGGCCTCGTCAGCGCCATCAGGAGCGAGCAGGAAGAGCACCGCGTCGGCCACCTTGGCCGCGTCCAGCACGGCGTACAGGTCTCCGGCGGGCGGGCAGAGCAGCGCCACGCGCTTCTTCAGGCGCGGCACACTGCCGACGGCGGGCCAGGGACCGGTCAGGGCGGAGAGCAGGCCACTCGCCACGGACAAGAAACGTGTGACAGAGACTGAGAGACTCGCACCATCACCATAAAAATACAATGTATGAGACACCTACAGCTCTGCACTGCAACTGAACAGTGACCGTATATGTATAAATAACACTAATAACAAAACTGATGGTAACACCTGGCAGTGGTGTTTCAGAGCCAGAGGATCGCAACAGAGATGTACCTCTTCCCAGCCAGTCCCCCAGATTGTCGCTCGCTGACCTGATGTGGGTGACGCCCTGTTCGGAGCGGGTGACGGTGACGTCGGGGTCGGCGGCCGTCAGCAGGCGGAGCGCCGACTGGGCGGCGGCCGCCTGGTGCAGCGCCACCACGGCCACCAGCAGCGGCGGCGTGTCGGCCGTGCCGCGCCACCGGGCGCGCTGCAGCGCCTCCTGGCGCTTGTTGTCGCGCAGCTGGCGCGCCAGCAGCCGGCGCTCATGGCGCTTCTGCTCGTGCTGCTTCCGCCGGGTGAGCGCCTTCAGCTGAACCTTGCCTGTGAGTCAGCGTCGCGTCACACCATATCAGTGTCAGCTGTTCGGCATGTGGTCCAGGGTTCATTACATATCAGTTCAATCTTCAAGTGAGGTAAGGATTCTTCTTGAGACAAAGTGTGTCATATATACCACCACAAAAATAGAGGAAAGATAATATAAATGAAGTGACTTATGCAGGATCAGTTCATTTTCAATGAAAAAAGAATGTTGCTGATATTATGACAGCAACACTATGGGTAGGATGCACTAAAATGTATATGATAATGTGAAAGCAAACCAGACATAACTTACCCTTGCTGATGTTGTCTAGAGACCTGTTGCTCTTATGTCTCCCAGTCTTATGTTGTTTATTTTGCTGTTTCAAATTTGATGCTCTATGAGAATGCATTTTTCAAGTTTTAAATTACCTGTAAATAATTGAATTTAATGTTTAATCAGCTTACTTCTAGCAAACAGCATCAGTTATGATCTAGACATATTCTCAGATTCCCTACCAATGGTTAGATTGATATTCATTCCTTGCCAGTTGCTACACTTTCCATTGATTAAGATTGGTTAGGAACCAGGTCCAAGATGCTAGATGTACCTACCTACCCAGGTACTCATATGCATTACACAAGATACCACTTTTGCACATTTATTCACCACATTTACTGATCACCACTCACCAGTTGTAAGCAATATTCCAACAAAACATGTCTTTCAGTATAACAAAACAACTGAGCAGACCTTGAGTAACCAAGTATGAGGTATGAAGAAGGGAACTCATGTAAAGAGATTACAATATAGTCATTCTCTATACATTATTACAGTCATCATTATACTATAGTCATATAGTCATAGTCAAAATGAAATGTGTGAAGTAAGATTAGTCATGAATTCATTATCACTTATCTTATTTCACACATTTCATTCTTAGATTCCCAGGCTATCTGAGTATTGCAAATCTTGGCAGGCAAAATTTAACAGTATTACAAACAATTAGCAAAACATATCATGATTATTGATTCATATTAAAACCACTGACACTCTGCTCAGTGCTCGTTCTAGAAAAAGGAAGGATATTATGTTTTTGTGGTGTTTTGTACCCTAAATTTTAGTTCATAAAAGAGATTCAGTAACTTTTGAATATAACTAATGTAAAAGTTAATGGTTTTTAACTTTTTTTCTAGAACGATATTACACAAAAAAATGCAAATCCGCAAATATTGCATGCAGAGTGCTGTTCACGGGCACCTGCGGTAGCTGCGGCTCGGCGGTCAGCCGGGTAATGACGTCACAGAAAGTGGGGATGGGGCGGGTGGTGTGACGTCATACGGCTGCGGTCGCCTGCGTCTCCTGCGGTCGAAACGATCCGACCGCAGCGGCCGCAGAAACCATTTGTCATGCAAAGTGGCGCGGCAGTTGCACATTCGTGTAACTTGGGCGGAAAATTGACACGGCCGCCTCAGACGAACGCGTGATGACGTGCGCACAAGTGGGCGGGACTTACAGCCTGCGATCTACCGCAGCTACCGCAGTTACCGCAGGTGCCCGTGAACAGCACTCAGACAACGCATAGTGTAGCTTGGCCTCCAGTTCAAGCCTATCTCAATCATTCTCATAAGTATAGGTCAAGGTTTGAACTCCACAGAACCTCAATTCTTATTATTAATATCAACCTCAAATCATCAACCTCAAGCCAATTAACTGGTTCTACAGGTGATGATGTACACAAATTCTATGCATGCAACCAATATGGTAAAATATTAACAGCCATTGACACAAAACACAAATGTAGGTATCATTGAATTTGTGAAAGACAAATCAAGAGTACCTACCTAAGGTTCTGTTTTGCAGCTGACACGGAATATGGCACAGCCGCTACAGAAAAAATGCAGAATGATATAGGGAAAAATGAAAATACTTACTCTGAAAATCATTAAATATATACGCAGCGCTTGTAAGCTCCCACACAAACAAGCACACGAATCAACATGGGAAACACAAGAAATTTGTGTAACACGTGGTTGGCGCTTGCAGCATACAGCATATTGTCTTGCCTGCGCAAGAAGTGTAATAAATTGTAAGGTTACATGTTGTAAGGCTTAAGCGTTTTATACTTTTTATTTCGATAGTTTTATGTTTTTCATTATCCACTACATTAAAAAGTGATTAACTTGTGCTGATGTATTTACAGTTTAATATTTGCATTAATTTGCGGGAAATCACTGTCTGAATTTAGTCAAACCATTTTATTTTGTTGAAAATGACGTCATTTACAGTAATAACTTCACAAATAATCGAAATATCAAAGGAAAGAACTTGATTGTAAAACACTGAGAAAACACCTTGGAAAAACGGAAAACAAATCAAGCTGTGGCTGCAGTTTCTATAGGTCTGAAAACACAGGAATTTGAGAAAACCGACTGCAAAACTTAAGGAAAAAGAAGCTGAGGTAAAGTTTATTTCAATTTTCAATCAATATCAATGGTGAAGCGCGTATACGCCATACGGGCGGCCTCGACGCCTAACGGGCACTTTGCAGTTTGCACTGCGCGAGTATGCTAAGTGCTTGTGATGCAATAGTTTATTATTTAATTCCTTAAAGTTCATGCCTTATGGTACATATGGCTTTTGAAATGTGTGACAGTTGCTGCTCGTGCAGGTACCTAGGTACTCTACTGATGCGCGTTGCAATTCGCAAGCTTGGAAAAGTTGCCATTTTCTGGTGTCATGGTATTCCTACCAAGAACCTATGTAGGTTCCTGAATGCATAGAGGCTAAGGAACAGGAAATTAGTTCCAGATTTTGTTGAATTGGATGAATTGGTTCAGGAATGGGGTGCACACCTGTCACTTGGCAAGCTAAGAGCTGGGTCTTGAATTGCATGTGCAATATTTGCTTGTGTTTTATCCTGTATTGCCTTTCATCATTTTTAAATACCATGTCTGTGGCTCTCCCCCCCCAATACATACCCATGGTCAATAAACAAATGAATGGATGAATGAATGTCAGCACACACCTGAGCATAGGTAGACTCTGCTGAGCCAAGAGTGTCTTGGCGCAACAAATGTTACTGCCGCCATAGCAGATAACTTGACCTCTGCTAGTGCTGTCTGTTATGGCTTCAAAGCTAAGCCAGTTTGGAATAGGTAGAGTTTGGGCATCCCCAATCCAGCACAAAGTTCCAACTATGCACCTAAGCAAGAGCTAGTGGAGGCTGGGGCTCACATCTGTGATCTGACTTCTGAGATTAAGAACTTGTTGAAATTTGCCTTGTCTTGTTGTTTGGGTGAACACACACTAACACCTTTTCCTATAGGTACCTAACATCTACCCAACACTTGAGATAAACAAATTTTTATGGCAAAGGGTTACAAGTTCTGTGGTCAAATAATGCTAGACTATGCATGTGTATCAGATTGGTGTCAATATCTGCAGTCACCCAAGGGCTCCGATTCCATAACTGAACACCATACATGCAGCTGCTGAAGAAGGAGCTATTGACAGCTTGGCAGATGCCATATTTTCACTGACTTTTTGTCTGTCTGCACTGAAATGATATGATGTGGTTTCAGGTTTGTTGTGCCAGGTGCCAACTTTGTAGCGATCAATAGGTACTGCTGATTTTACACTGTGTTTCCTTTTTTCCAGGAAATGGATCAAACTGTGAAGCTCACATACTCCATCCATGATTACTCAAGCTTTTCTGGGAGTTATTTGCCAAAGTAAAGTGCTGTTCATCCTTCTAGTCTACTGGTGTTGTGTCAACTGGGTTTGGAAAGCTAAATGACATAGCTTACTCAGGATTTGATTTTTAAATCAACATTTCCTGATGCATTCAGCCACATTTGCTTAGTTTTGTATACCTACTACACGTTATTATAGATTACTGAAATGTTAGTTGCTTGCATGATAGCAGTAGTGTGGCAATATTAGCCTGTTTAACAATGGTGATAACAGATATACTTGTCAGCATCCTAAGCATTAACAAGATATCAACTGTTTACAGTGACTGCTTGGAAAAGTGAATGTCATAGCTTACTCAGGATTTGATTTTTCAGCCACATTTCTTTCTACATGTAACAAAAGTTTATTTTGGATTATGTTCTCATCTTCATGTAATAGGGGAAAGAGGCACGATGTCCTGTAGGGCATGTACTCGACAATTTCTTCATTTAACTTCATTCTGCACTCATTCAGTAGTTCTGAGTACATGTGTGTTTATAATTAGCATGTTAACTCTGTTCTTCAGGAATATTGCTGAGGACAAGCCAAACGACCAGGCTTCAAGATGGTCATCAGAAAACAACAACCCACCTCAGGTATGATCCTGTCATTGTTTGCACTGCAGTGACTGCGGTCCACTGATTTCCCCATTTCAAATTGTCTTACATATTTACATCATGCATGTCAGGTACCTATCTAAAGGTACTAATGTATGATGTATGAGGAATGTGTACGAAGAGGTACGGAAGACTAGCGATAGCAGTCCGTTATTTACTCATGTCCTTGGTGCTGTTTATAATCAGCTATATCACATAATTGTTCGTTTGCATTGGTTAGGCGGCTGTGCCTGATTACTTTTCGTTTATTTACAGTACATCACCCTGAAGCTAAAACAGCCGGCCATTGTAAGAACCATTACGTTTGGAAAGTACGAAAAGACGCATGTGTGTAATCTGAAAAAGTTCAAAGTGTACGGTGGTCTCTGCGAAGACAATCTGATTGAGCTTCTGGACAGGTGGGTGACATTACTAAATCGCTTTCACACATCCACTTTTGCTGGAATGTAGGAGGAGGCGGAAGGTGTTACTTTTTGTTACTTCTTTGTTCGAGCAATTCTAGGCATGGAGGATGCCGCATGATGTACACTTTCGCTGCCTCTTTCATGCATATCGTTATTTTACCTTTTTCAGACAGCATTATGTTATTGCATGTGACATTATTTTTCAGATATTTAAATATCTTCTTTCGAACATTTAATTTACATTCAACGTCATCGAATTGACATTTCAGTCTCATCCTTTTGACCAGCGGTTCCGTTAGTCGTCCTTGTCTTACCGCCGTGCGTCGTCTCGCTCGCGTGTGGTCTCAGCTTTCGGTACCCCTCCCTACTGCACCTGCCCCTTCTCCCGTCACCCGCTCCCCCTCTCCTCCCCTCCGCCGCCACTGATCGTGGCGGCTGATATTGCTTTGCTCCTGCGCTGTCGGCTCGGATTTCACTGTCGGCTCCGTTTACCGCTACCAACCCGAGTCGGCCGGCGTGTTAATATACCCTGGACGTTAGTGTCTGGGGGGGGGGGGGAGCAGGGCTGGAATAACATCGGTCAGTTACCTCCTGATCCGCAGTTTTGGAGATGGTGGCACAAACACTTCATTTTGTTAGTGTCGCTGGTGTAACAAAAGCATGGGAAAATCCAAACATCAAGCGTTTTGCCCTGCTGCTTCTTGATATTATAAGAACCTGGTCGCTGTGTCCGTGTCCCGTTTGGTAGGTCCTTGCATACCTACTAGGATGCTAGACGTATGGCTAGAGATGGCTGATAAGCTTTACCAGACGAAAACAGCTGTTAGGCTCATAGTGCCTTTTTGGTTGACACAGCGGTTTGAAGAATGACAACCAGCCGGAGACGTTCTACCTGCGCTACAAGCTGGAGAACAACCCGTTCCCCTGCCAGTACATCAAGGTGGTGCCGCTGCACTCGTGGGGGCCCAGCTTCAACTACAGCATCTGGTACGTCGAGCTGTGGGGCGTCGACGACCACGACACCGTGCTGCCCCACATGAACTGGTTCAACGCCGTAAGTCGAGGAAGATACAGCACTGAAGTGTCGCTGTGTTCCGTGGAGAGGTCACTGTATTCGGATAGTGCTGACCTGCTCGGGAAAATACTTTGTTAAAAGTGCGAGGTGTTTTTTTATGTCAAATAGCAGCTGCGTTCATGAGTTTCATAGGGTTTTCAATTTATTTCCTGCTGTGGTAACTGGTATAGTTGATCACTACGTTGTAGTTGCTTGATGTGATTTTATGTCCCGCACTTTTAACATAAGATATGCGCAACATTTCTGCGCGAATAATGGTCGTTTAAGTTATAAGTGCATTCATTTTCATCAATAATTATTTTCACTTAAATCACGGGGCGTCATATCTTACAGTTGTGAGTTTGACGTGCTAATCTGGTAAATGCCCTTCGTTAACTGCCCTTTTTTTATTTTATTTTTTTATTTTTATTCAGGGCTCCCTCCAACGGGCTCATGTATGCCCATTTACAGGAGGGCTCCTCCTCCTCCTAGCCCATGTTCCCCCACCCCCCAGGCTACGGCTGAAGTGGGAGCCTACCCCACACCTGGTGACACAGCCGGGGACGACGCCCGCGGAACGGGCGGAACCGGGAATCGAACCCGAACCCGGCACCGCCCGCACCGCGGGTCGACGCCTTAACCGACTGCGCCACCAGGGCTTCCGTCCCATCCCGGCGTCGCACGTCCCTCGTCAGCTGACGGCCTCACCCACCCCCCTCCCCCGCGGCAGTACCGGGAAAAGGAGGCGATCCGGCTGTGTCTGAAGCACTTCCGGCAGCACAACTACGGCGAGGCGTTCAGCTCGCTGCAGAAGCGCACGCGCGTCCAGCTGGAGGCGCCGCTGCTGACGGAGCTGTTCGAGTCGCTGGTGGAGCGCGGAGACTTTGCCGCCACCGAGGAGGCCGTCCAGCGCGCGCAGGAGAGCGGCCTCTTCAGCGAGTACATCAACCAGCACGAGTACCGGCCAGAGTGGCGGCCCATCGTGCCGGAGCCGGGCGCCGAGCGGCCCGGCATGCGCGGCGGACACCAGGTCAGTGGGGGGGGGAGGGGGACACCAGCTCAGTGTGGGGGGGACGGGGTGGGCGCCGAGCGGCCCGGCATGCGCGGCGGACACCAGGTCAGTGGAGGGGGGGGGGGGAGAACAGGGGCAGAAGGGGCTGGAGTGGGCACCGAGCGACCGCGGGGGCACCAGGTCAGTGGGGAGAGGGGAAGGGGGCACCAGGTCAGTGGGGAGAGGGGAAGGGGGCACCAGGTCAGTGGGGAGGGGAAGGGGGGACAGTTGTCGCCGGGCGACCCGGCATGCGCGGCGGACACCACGTCAGAGCACCAACCTACTGGCTCATATCTTTTTGCTTTTATTA